ATATCTTCTTTCAACAGATATGCTTATTTTGATAAAGAAACAGATCTGTTTTACACTTGGAAATCAACTGGCAGATGGTCTGCAAAAACAAATCAGAGCAGACTCCATTTGCTTTAATAAGGAATATTACTCCTATAATCTTAGCACTTGTATATTTTAATGTTAAAGAATGCTAAAACATAATACCAGTCTTGTAATGGATAGATTCAAATGACAAGAAACACATTTGTTTGGATCAAAGCCAAATGGTGATACTTTGTCTGCCTCTCTGTGCTATAGCTGCTGCAGCATGAAAACCCCGGGGGCTTGCTGATCACTTGCATTCTAGCAGATGTGAAGATGTCTGCCAGGAATAATATAGGATTATTGCTTAGAGCAATCCATCACCAAACAATATAAATAGGCTACTGATTGTCACTTCTTCTTACTGCTGCCTTATGGTGTTATACATTAATTGCTTTACCACAATAAAAGGAAGTTGCTTCATACCGTTTAATAATAAGCTCTCTCTTCTCTGTCCCATTCCAGTTCTTATGCCAAGCTCATCATAGGTGTCTGAACACCTTCCAGAAATGCATTGACTTATAACTTTTCTAACATGTATTTAAAAAGAAAGTGTTCCATCTACAAAGAGTGAAGTAGTAACAATTGTTTACTCTGACTAGAAATTTACATACTAAAGAGAGAAAACTTGCTATCAAACTGTTCACACCTATGAGTACTTCAAAAAACCAGAGGCAACCTGTAAAGCCATTCAAGCATAATTATTTCCTATACTTTTCCCAAATCTCTGTGGTGTGCCCTCAGAGGTTTTCATGACCTCTTCCTGTGGAAGGGGAGAAGCTAGGAAGGGCTACTGCTTCCCTGTAGTTTCTTTTGAAGTCTCTATTGATTTACTTGATGTTTCTATTACGAAAGTTGATACCAGACCTTGTAAACTGCTTCTAGATGCACATGTTGTTTTATGTTCTTAAACACCTAATGTAGATCAGCATCCTTTTGACCACAAGCAAAATAATCAATCAATTAGAACATAGCAGAAATTTTTTTAAGGAAAGGTGGAATTGAAATAATGGCATGAAAATCAGGATTTACAGTAATGCTTTTCAACCTTATATGGGGAACCACTGATGTTGACTCCAAAATCATGCAAAGACAGTCTTGAGTTATAACTCTTAGTGAATTATGTAAAAACAATGCTAGCTTGAACAGAATGTGTGGTAATGCAATCTCTCGTTATTTTGTGCAAGACTGAAAATATAAGAGTAAAGTCTAATCCTATATATGACTGCAGTCAGGTGGGAGGAATAACTTTATCAATATGAACAGGGCAACCTACCAGCACAAGCTTGTGCACCATAGATCATTCTTTCTATTCCAGTTGCTTACAGTTTCCATTGTTATCGCATGGCACCTCACTGCCATTCATCTAAAGCAATCCGAGAACATTTCCAATATTTAAAATGTTTATCATTTTCTTGTCAAAACGTTATTGTATAACCATCATCTATTTACATAAAGTGAGTACGCACCGTACTTACTAATAACGCTACGCGTGTACAGCTATTTGTACCACAAAAGATGCTTTAAAGAAAATGTTTCTCCTCCTTTCATACACAGTACGTGTAATTTCTTCCTGTATTGGGTTGTTTTCCCAAAAATTGGGGGTTTTTTTCTAAACCAAAGCCAGGATCCCTGCTGATCAGAAAGAGAACTAGTAGCAACGCTGGCCACAGGCCTCCCCCCGCTCCCAAACCCTGTGCAGTGCTGCAATGCCTCTCAGACAAGTCTTCAAAACGACCCCTTCGCTTTCCCCTGGAAAAGTACAACATTGTGGGCACAAGTTTTGGCGGCACCAGAACAGACCCGAGGAGGGAGACACCGCTTTGTCCCCGGCACCTTGAGGGGTCCGGCAAAGGCCTGTGGAGGACACACCGACAGGAAGAACCGGCGGCTCTTCAAGCCCAGCGACCCGGCAGGCAGAGGTCGCGAAGGTCTCGCACACAAAAGACAACTTGATGCAACTTTGCCCGAGGCCGCAGTAACAGGTGCGGGCCCCCGCCCCACCAGTCCCGCAGCCCCCGCCGGTCCCGCAGCCCGCACCGCCCCGGCCAAACCAAGTAAGTCTGCGGGGGCAGAGACGCCCAGCGCGGAAACAACCAGCCTCTGCGCCCCGCGCAGCTCCCAGACCCGGGCCGCGCCCCGATCCCGGGCCGCGCCTCGGAGCCGGGGGGGAAGTGGGGGGGCGTCAGCAGGGGCTCGAGCCGGACCGGGCTGCGGTGGCTCCTCCTAGAGGCGGTATGAGGAGCAGAAGGCGCCCCCTCCGCCACCGCCGCCATTGAGACACTCCGCACAGGAGAAAGCCGCTGGCCGAGCTACAGCACCAACAGCACCGGACGCGC